TTTTTTTAACTTGGATGTGCTTTTACTCTTTTACAAATTTGGACACTTTGCTATACCCTTTTTACCCACTTTCTAATAGTCTTTACCTATTTATTTATATATACACAATTTTTCTAAAAACTCTTTTCTTATCACCAACAAAAACAAATCAAAATAGTTTTTATAAGAAAACTTAATAATAAATTCCCATTTAAAATAATATATTTAAAGACAAAAATACAATATAGTTTACTTGTTAGATTTATGAGTTTATAGTTTAAATAGCTGAAAATACAATTTTTTTAACTACACGAATGTGGTCTAGTGTTGATGGCTCGTAAAATATTTTAAAAACCTGGGTTCAAAATCGTACATTCAGATTATCTATCTGTGTGTGTGACCAAAAAACAAGGGTATCTAACTTTCTTTACGAACAATCGGATCTATTTAGAATCGGTGGACAGGTCCCGCAAATTAGTCTGTTGATCTCTTCTACCTGAATATCCTGATCTAAACAGAAAAAAGTACAATATTTTCTTACAGAAAATTCTTGATTATATTTGCTTTTAGTGCATGGCGTTATTGAGTGATCTTACACATACAGAAATAAAATAATTCATAAATTTAGTTGGTGCAGCTAGTTTGAAAAGATTTAAACTAAAGCCTTGTAAGTTTTGCATAAAAGTGTAAAGAAAAAACGTGTTAGTTAATTTGTGTTTTATGTCCATGTTTATTAACTTTCTTTTTTTGGCATCGTCCATGTTAACTAAACGTCTACAATTTATGAATTAGTTTGAAGACTAATTCTTGGGTTTACCCCTAGGGTGAACTTAGAGGTTCACCATCCAATAGGATTATATTATTTCAGATTTAATATCTTTTTAAAAGGGAAACAAAATCTTATTAAGTTATATTACGTTTTTAAAAATAAAAAATACAAAAATAAATAATAATAAATAACAAAAAGGAAAATAATTCTTTTTAAATAAAATATTTAACACTAAACTCTAAAAATTTAGAGCTTATGATTTATCCAAGGGTTTAGGGTTTAGGATTAGAGTTTAGGGTTTAGTGTTTATGATTTACCCAAGGGTTTAGAATTTTGGATTAGAGTTTAGGGTTTATTGTTGATAATTTACCCAAGGGTTTAGAGTTTAGGGTTTAGTGTTAAAATATTTATTTTTAAGAATTTTTATAAAATTTATTCAAAAATTTATGATTTATCTAGGGGTTTAGGGTTTAGGATTAGAGTTTAGGATTTAGTGTTAAAATATTTTATTTAAAAAAATTATTTTCGTTTTTATTCATTATTATTTTTTTTTATTTTTTTTTGTATTTTTATTCTTAAAAACAGAATATAATTTAACAAGATGTTGTTTCTTTTTTAAAAGATATCAAATATGTAATAATACAATTTTATTGGATGATGAGGTTCATCATAGGGGATGAACCTAAGAATAACTCGGGCAGCTCTCTTCTTCCCAACAACCTTGACTACGCCAGTACCGCTGCTCAAGAATTTTATACATATGGAAATGAGAAAAGTGGGTAGGTGGTGAAGCATGGAACAAACCACATGGGCTGGACTTGGGGGGCCACATTCCCACCTATATTCGGAATCAAGCCCTTATTTTGTCTACTATCAAACTAGAGCTTCGCTTTATGTCTCTATTTTGATCGGGATACTGCATTTCTTTAGCAATTCATGTTGATCGAGATACGCATGACAAGCAATATCTTTACTTATTTGTTGTTTTATGTCTTGAGAATGTAATATAATATCTCGATTGATGAAAACTAGGGTTCAATACATTTTTCTTTCTCTAATATAAGATGTCTGGAGATAAATTATTTCTACTCAAAAGGTTACATGTTTATTAATTGTATTTGTCATACACATTCATATTTGAATAATCCATGTAGGCATTGGCAATTTCAAGTTTTGATTTGTTTGGATATGAGATTTTAGAATCCATTTAGTGTTGATTCAGATAGTTTTGTGTTCAGATAGGATAGTTAAACTAAGAACCGTCTAATACCCAAAAAATTAGGATTCATCTGGAATACAATTATTGCGGATATTATTGATAATGTACAAATACTTGCATTAATTTTGGATAATGTGGTTTTTGCAAATATATACATATACATTTGGTTATTTTATATGTCTATATAATTAATATTAATATATATTTGGGTATGTGTGTTCTCGGTACGGTTTGATTTATTTTAAATATAAATATAAAAGTTTAGGTATTGGAGGATTCTTGTCCGATTTTTGTTTTGGTTATTTTGGTTCGGTTCCAGATCGAATTTATGAATCCAGCTAAAATGTTTAGGTCTTAGTTCAATTTTAATTTAAATTACAAATAAAAATTTATATAAGAAAATTCATAAATAAATAACTATTTTTAACTTAAATTAAATAATTATATTATATTATAATTAATGAATGGACTTTTAGTTTTAGTTTAATTTTATGAATATTTCTATATTTTTGAAAATATTCAAATGTGTCATTAAATATTTGATTATAAATCGTGTGTAGGTGAAGTGTAATCTAACTCTTTATCAAAAAAATAAAAAAATCTTATCTAACATAACCTAACCCTAGTAAATAAACAAAATGTGGTATAGAAGTTATGAGAATTAAAATGGGCTTTTCTTAAGCCCATTAGGGGAAACAAAAGGAGTGAGTACAAATGGTATACCCTGCACTCTGCACCACCTGATCATTTGATTTTGAAATTAGTGACTCGTCCGCTCTCTTCACCCATTAGGGAAGAAAGACAAAGAGAAGAGGGAGCGTTACTTGTTGGATCGAGAGAGAAGGCAACACTTGTCCGGGAAATGACGAAGCGGAATCTCCGACCGAAGGAGTCCACACTCGGGGAAGACGCCGAGCTACTCTTCCAGAAGAGGATTCGAGATCTGGAGTCCGTCAACGAATCTCTCAAGGTCTTTCCTTCTTCACATCAATTTTATTTTTAATGCAATTTTCTCCGATTTTGAGATCTAGATTCGTTTTCTAGGCGGAGAGTCGATTTCATGGTTTCTCGTATGTTTTGGATGTGGATTTGTGCGTTAGAGAAGTGGTCAAAGCTGAATGGTTTGTTTTGAAACTTTGGTGGCAGGGTGAGGTGGAAGAGCTGAGATCCAAGCTCGCTGATGTTTCAGTTACTTCTTCTGGACAGTCAAGTAGAGCCTTCTCTATTGCTGTAAAAGAAGAGGTGAATGAATGAATCATTCTTCAGGTTTTCAGTTAAAGAGATATCATGCACATGTAACGTTGATACCTTTTTCTTTATAGGGTATGAGCTCGAGGAGTAAGTCGAATCAACGTTCTATGAGCTCGAAAAAGAAGCTCAGAATTGAGAGTTGCGTAAAGCAGGTGGATGGTGAAGTCCAGAGACTCAAGGCGCAAAAGGTAAGCATCTTTGTGTTGTGGTTGTGGCTGATAATGTGAAGAATTGTAGTGTTTGTGAAATGGTGACTGCTCTTCAGGTTAAGTTGCAGTGCAAGATCAAGCTAGACTCTATGCAGTTCAGACTTTCAAAAGCTTCACTCGAAAAGGAAACTCTTCAGGTAAGCTAAGAAGAACCATTTCCTGATTGAATACTTCTTAAGGAACCTCAGCTTTTTAATTTATTATATCTTCTCTTCTAACAGCTCAAGAAGGAGCTAAGGAAATGCGAGTTCGAGAAACATTTACTATCAGCTTTAAACAGGCGCCAGAAGATGGTATCTGTTCTCTTTATTGTCTATATAGTTTTCATCAGCTGTTTTGCTGATTCAATTCTTTTAATCAGATTTCGCAGCTGAAGAATACACAAGCTTTGACAGCCCTGAAGCGTTTAAAATTGCTGCTGCAATCCAAAAAGGCCTTTTCCAAGAAAAATAAAGGTCAGATAACAACAATGCTACTATCCGTGCCTTCCTCTTCCTGTTTCTTTTCATTGGCTAAACTGTTTTAGTATCCTCTCTCTTTTTTTTTCCAGGTGCCCCAAAAGGAACGAGCTCTACGAATCAGGCATGGATACCTATTGTATTACATGGGTTTTCAACTGCAGCTACGTCTTGGTTTTTATTAATGGTTTCTTGTTCTGATTGTTTAGGAATCTAGCAATGAAGTTGGGCTGCTAGTGAAGTTGAACAAGATTCACTCTGGTTACGAACGGCAAATGAAAGAGTATGCTTTTAAAAGAAAGTTCATCAATGCTAATATAAAATTGTTTTACTTCTGTCTTGTGAAATGATGGGTTCCTTACTTTTTTTTTTTTTTTTTTTTTTTCTGTTATCAGAATGGCTGAAGAGGTAAAAAAGTTCAGCCTAGAGGCAAGTGTGTTGAAGGCAGAGTTCGAGGGAGAGCAAAACTCATTGTAAGTTTGATAGTAACTAAACTTTGGTTGTAGCTTCTAATTGTGTTCTCTAAGGTGATTCCTTTTTTTTTATATATATATATAGCTCTCCGTCATGTGACAACGGAATCAACCAGACCCCTATAGACTCGGAATTAAAGGAGCTTAAAGAGGAATTTAGCAAACTAAGTACTCTAGTCAGCCAGATGGAAATGGCCAAATCTCAGCTCAGCCAAACAGATAGAGTTCAGGTTATCATCAATTCTGAAATTAACATTTAATTTTAATCCCTAAGTAACCAATTTTTTTGTGTTCTGATTTTTAAATTCAACAGACCGAACCAGCTGAATACTCTATTCCCAGTAAGGATAACGATGAATCAAACTTAACACTCTCTCAGGAGAGAACTTCCGAGGGAACAGTCTATGAAGAATCAAGCATAGAGCCATCTCAAGTGAAAGAGTCTGGGAAAACGCTCTTCGATAAGAAAACTTCAGAGGAAGCGCACTGCCAAAAAGAGCAGAGCAAAGCTGAGATCTGTTGCTCTTGCACCAAAAAATCTCTGTGCAAGACGAAAAACTGCAAGTGCAGAGCAAATGGAAGTGGGTGCGGTATCTCTTGTGGCTGCATAGCCTCCAAATGTAGCAACAGAGAAGAAAACGTAAGATCTGACAAAGCAATGCAAGCAGTAGATGGCAAGAAGCCCGTTGACAACAACAACAAAGATGCAAACAAAAAACCATTGCGTGATATAGGGAATATACAAGTAAGCTTTCTTAATTCTCTTCTGCAACCTCTGATTGGACCAAACCATCTTTACATCTTTTGTTAAAACTTTCTTTTAACTTTGTTCTACAGGAAGCTGGAAAAGTTGGTAAGCTGAAAAAAGTGCAGAAGCCAGTAGCTAAGAAGTAATGAGAATGACAAATAAAGAGAAAGCGTCAAGACTGCAGAGATGTGAGAATTGGACAAAGTTAAGATTGTCAGAAGCTCGATTGGTATTGTTTTGTTTGACTCTGTTTTTTTTTTTTTTTCCGAATGATCACATAATAGTTCTACATATGGATTAATAGTTGGCAACATAAAAAAAAATCACCAAAATATAGTTTAAGACTTATTTATCCATATATTTTAGACCAATGTGTAGCAGAAAGTAAATAACTAAGAAAAAACAAGCCTACAACAAGAAAATTTAACAGAGAAATAGAAATTGTGTTTTCTTTTATTAATTTCAAACTTTTTGATCTTTGTTTGCTTTGTATACACAAGAGAAGAGATAATTGTGTCTATTAATAGAAAGAATACAAAGCTAGTAACTCATAGAATTACAATTATACAATAGACATTCAATCTATATTTGTAAAAAAAAAAAAAAAAAATTTATGTAGAAAGCCTAAGGTTCAGTCTTCTTAACCAGATAGAGTGAAGCATCATATGCATCACGTCGTAAGGCTGAGCAGGACGATTCAAGACGAAATGGCGCTTGACTTCTAAGACTCTCTTATACATCTTCAAGTATCTAACAAGAGAGACACTCTCTAGAATCGTTTTGATCTCACTTATCCTAGAAACAGGGATTTGTATGGAGAAGGAGTCCCAGTTAAGGACATCACTGAATGGTAATGAATAGTTATCAGATATGATCACAGGTACACAACCAGCGTATATAGCCTCGACCTCTCTTGGGCTAGCGACCTCCCAACCACTTGGGCATAGACAAAACTTGCTCATCCCCATTAGTTTTGTATAATCTTTACCCGGAGGAAGACGTTCATAGACTTGTACTTGACTGTCCTTTTCTTTCCAATGTTTAAATAAGATTTTTCGGATATTGCCGTGTGTTCTTCCCGCGAAAAACGCTAGAATAGATCGAACTCTCGGTGATTTTCCGAGGAAAGATGGACCCAGTTTACCTTTAGGAAGATAGATCTCCGGAATAGATACATCTAGGTTCGGTCTGAATCCTTCCGAGGTGTTAGCATTGCAAAGTCCCCTTATGAATCTTTCGAACAACTTTGGGTTCCCATCGATCACGTCCGGTGCCTGTAAACAATATTTTTTACGTAGATATAAATTAAAATTACAAAAATGTAATTTTATCATTTTAATATTAAAATCAAGCAAAATCTGTGAACTCAACAATAAAAGAGAAAAATAAAGGAAAATTTCTATACGTAAAGCATTACAACTTGACTATATATATATATATATATATATATATATATATATATATATATATATATATATTCTCAGTTGCTATGTTTCTAGTAACAATTACAGTTAGTATCCGAAATTGTATGAATATTAATATATATACTTCTTTTTTCTTGTAACAATGTACTTTTTAGTTATAAGATCAAATAAATTAAACTAGATTTTGACCCGTACATCCGTGCGGTATTATTTATTTTATAAATATATAGTTAAAGTTTTTATATATATGATTTATATTTTATTTTTAATTAAAGTTAATTTACAATTATATTTAATAACAAAATAAAGAAATACTTATTTTATATAATTTTTTTTTCTTGTAACAATGTACTTTTTAGTTATAAGATCAAATAAATTAAACTAGATTTTGACCCGTACATCCGTGCGGTATTATATTTTATAAATATATAGTTAAAGTTTTTATATATATGATTTATATTTTATTTTTAATTAAAGTTAATTTACAATTATATTTAATAACAAAATAAAGAAATACTTATTTTATATAATTTTTAAAAAAAAATTTTGGTAAGATATTTTTAGATTTTTTCAACAGATTTTGTTATATTTAAATAAATTTATTATTAATATTCTTAAAAATTATTAAGATATTTTGAAAATAATATATATTTGATTGGTTAAGTAACAATCAAATATATCATATTAAATAACTATTGACAAGCTCCAACATGACTTTTAAATAGTAGATAAATTTGATACTTCTCTTTTAATAGAAAAGATTATATGTAAGTCTCCATGATTATTGAAAAAGAAAAGACGTACCCAGTCATGGCATGATACCATGAAATGGTCACCTCCACGGCTTCTGTTCCAAAAGGGATACTTAGTAGCAACAACATCAACATAATCCTCTATAAGGCGGTGTAGGCGAGCACGTGAAAACCCTTCGACAGAGGTTATGGGCTTGTAGACAAAGTGGATGACCTTGGCGACGCTAAATGGAACGAAATAAACGTGAGCATCATCAGGGTGATCTGCCCGAAAATGGCTCCTCTTGGGGCCCTCCACGCACATTTCGTCCATGAATTGTCCTTCTATACCGTAAATGTCATTAACAGGTCCGTCATGAAACAGTGGGGCCTCTCCCTCGGTGTATGTCCACACCTTAAAACGATTCATCATTTCCGTGTGACTCCTGAATTAGTGCATATACGAGTGTGAGATCATATTACAAATTTTGAAGTTGGCCTCTATCATTTAAAAGAATACGTTAACACATATAAGGACATGTAGTTATAGTAGCAGCCAAGAGCACCATGAAACAAGTGGCTCCCGCTTATTATTATTTTTTTTTGTCGAAAAGCTCCCACTTATGTTAAAGTAAATATATTTCAAGAACAATTTTTAATTCACGTTTTTCCACGCAGGATGTAAAACATGATCAAACCTTTCCGATAGTAGCTTTTTAAATAATGAGCTCATGTTAAAAAGTAGTTGAGTATAGTTAATTTTCCTTAGTTCCATTAATCTTATAATATTCGATTTGCAATATTATATATAAACTCTTTGATTTAACAAAAGTAGAGGAATCGAAGCTCTTGCATAGAAAGCGGCATCTCACCGGAGCCGTTACATTGTAGTGTAAGTTGCGTAATTGTTTTTGTCTTGATGATCACTAATATCGATGTAAAATGGTTGGAAAACTAAGAAAACCCATGTGACATATATCAAATATGTCAGCGCTATCATCTTTGACGATCTAAGAAACAACCTAGACATTATGTACTTGTCAAGTATTTGTACTTGTAAATTACCAATTTAGTAAAGAAAAAAAAAACTAACTGGTGAAAGGCGGCTGGGTTCTTGTAGAGAGAGCTGCTATAGTTTTGTGTAGAAGCTGCCCTCTTAATAGCTGCTCTTGCTTTCGCCAAATCTGCTTCTACTTTATTCAACCCACTTCTTTTCTGAGGACAGCAAAAAATTGAAAAAAGAATAGTAATAATGATTAGAATATTATAAAAGGTTGAAGGGTAAAGATTCCTTGGTTGTTTTTTTCTTGGTTCAACCATCAAATGAAATTAAAAAGCAAGCGAGCTCTGTTCTTGAGAGAAAACACGGTTACATACCCTGATAAAAGTTGTTTTACTTGTAGGGCTTGAAGACTTCTTTTGGTTATCTTGATCAGAGACAGAAGAAAAAGAGACTGAAGCAAGTGTGGAGTTCGTTGTGTTGATTTGTCTGAGAGGAGAAGGAGAAGAAATTGAAGCAAAAGTAGCGTTTGTTGTGTTGTTTTGTCTGAGAAGAGACATAGGAGGAGTAGCGACTAAATCAAGAGTATTGTTTGCTGAGTTATTTTGTTCGAGAAGAGACAGAGGAGGAGCATGAAAAGAGAAAGAAACAGAAATTTGGTTTTTGTAATCTATGAAAGGCTTGTTAGAGGGCTTTATGTAGGCAAAAAGTGAAAGAGAAAACAGAATAAGAGAGACTGAAAAAAGGGTTAACAGTGAAAGAAAGCATCTTCTTGATCTTGGAGTAGCCATGAATATCTTTTTCTTCCTTTTTTTTTGTTTACTCTTTACAATCAGAAGGAAGACACAAGAGCAGCCATGGATGTTTTTTCTACTCTTTATTATTTCTTGATTCTTTACTATCAAGGAAGACACGAATTTTGAAAGTGAGGAAGGAGAAAAGTCATAATGATTCTGTGTTATGTCTCTGTCATTTATCATTAGTGGGAAAAAAAGAGTCTTGCTTCACCAAGCAACTTGCTGGTTTGTTTCTTTGATATTTCGTCATTTTATGAATTATAAATTATAATCATACAATTAATACGATTATTTTTTAAAGGATATAGAGCTGAGTCTCATACAATTAATACGATTAATTTTTAAAGATATAGTAGAGCTGAGTCATCTCTGTACGTTTACATCAAGTTTACTTCTATTTTGTTTTCTTTCATCTAATCCCCTATATATTAAGCGAGAAACATTTAAAAAATTGTAACTTAAATTTGTATTAATTAAAAAACAAATATATCCTATGTAGTACATCTCTATGTCTTATATTTCAATTTAGAAAGATTATAAAACACCTTATGTAAAACATAGTTTTAAAATAAAATTCGTTGGTCTCATATAAGACATATCAAACTAAATAACATATCAAACTAAATCCTTTATATATTATTTCCTTAAATAAAACCTACAGGATTACTTAATATGATCAACATATATATGACTATTAATAATTTTAAATAATAAAGATTTGTTAACAATCTGTATAGTTTATATCATTTTTGTTTAATTTTTTATTATCAAAAAAATTACACAACTACACTATTCATATAATAAAATTTTAATTTTTTTTATTTATGTTGAATTTTCAAATTTTCAAAATGAGTATAAATTACTAAAACTGTTAAAAATCTCACATAAACTTTTGTGACCAAGGTTTAATTTTTTTCTATAATAAATTACAATGATTATAAAATCATATGAAGAAATAATTTTATTTTAATAGGTGTTTATGTTAATATATATATATCTCATACCGTATGAATAAATAATTGTATGTAAACATAATTATAATTTAAAACTTAACTTAATTTTTTATTAAAAAATTATTTTTAAAAATAGAATTTTCTAATACTATTAGACAAATAAATAAATTATATTAAATTACTTTTGAAATTTTATATATTCAAAATGCAAATATTTTAGCAACCGCTTCTTAAGAAAGCATTAGAGAACTTGATAATGCTCTACCAATTAAATCTTTGTGACATTCCATTTATTTTTCATCACTCGAACACTGAAAAGTGAAAAAAATATATGAACCAGATCCATTAAACTTTAAGTTTTGATCTACAATTCTAATTATAATTGTTTCTGATCCTACATATGGATAATTATATAAAAATTCAAAAATTAAAAATAGATATAAAAACAATCATATGTAAATTTTAAATTTATTAATACTAAAGTTTTATATTTTAATTACATACACTCACTCTGCACAAAACGAAGGTCTGCGCAAAACACAGGTCTTATCCTAATATTAGATTAAACTGCTGAGAATGATAACAAACTAGTTTTTACAAAGACTAGATCCAATGTCCGCGCTACGCGCGGAAAATTCAATAGTTTTGTGATGAGAAACTGTTGATGAATACTCCCTCCGTTTCATTTTAATTGTCATTCTACGTTTTTGCACACAGATTAAGGAAACATTTAATTTTACATATTTTCAAGAAAAAAATACAATTATCTATACACCTAACCACTTTTTCAACCAAAAGATAAATAGAATATCATATAAAACTAATAAATTTTGTCTCGAAACTCTAAAATGACACTTATTTTGAAACGAAATTTTTTCTCCAGAATGACAATTAATTTGAAACGGAGGGAGTAAAAGTTTTTTGTTCAGTTTATCGATAAGTGACTCTTAACTTCATATTTGTTTACATAATATCTGTACCCTATTTTTTATTATGTTAATCTAATTGTTTCAATGTATGTATTATTTAAAGCCAAAAAATAGTGAATACAGTGAGATTAAAATTTTCTAACGTATTTTAAAAATGTAAATGTAGGCAATTATATTGTAAATTTAAAACAGAAATGAGTAGGATGCAACCTGTTAACATAAAAAGTCTCATGTATGATGTTTTGGAGTTAACCATTTTATTGCATTCAAAACCTTGAAATTGTAATGAAATATAGTATCCAAAAGAAGCAAATGTCTGAAAACGAATGTTTTTGGAAAAAAATAAGACAATAGGTAACCAGTACTTAAGCTGTGGTAAATCAATAGCTCAGATAAGCTTCTCTTGACTCAATGATTTTCATGACCTCATATCCCTCCTTTGAAATGCTTGATGTATGCGTGAATGAGTTTCTGCGGTTCTTTTATTCGCTTTGTTTTAAGTAATGCATCAATCATGTGAAAAAATAATGTATCCGTTACACATAATTAACATAAAAACTACTATATTCTTTTAAACCCGAAATAGACTAAGCCATATGATCTTCTATGAACACTTTTTTACCCACATCTTCTATGGTTTGGGCATGGGGTGGGTTATCCATTATGTTGAATCAGTGATTCTTACAACCAACCCTTTATAAATTAGAGATATGTTATAGTTTTTTTAAAACTTGAGTTATTATAAAAATATTACACTTACACAGCTTGTAGAGGATTGTTTTGCAAAGATCGTTGAAAACTTTTGGTAAAGCTGTATGAGAAATGTTCTTCAACCTATGGTAGAGAATGATGAGATTTGGGCATAAATGGAATGATGTGAAACTGATTTCGTTAGGAATAAGATATTTGAAATCTATGAAAGTTGACTTAATCAAAAATATGTCTTTCCTTAGGCGAGGATGATCTTTTGGAATTTATGGGATTTTCCAAAAGGGTTGGAACTTAATTTAAGGTGTCAGTCACGGTAAGACTTTCTGACCTTGGATTTTAAAATTGGAAAGGGAAGTTGTATAATGGGTGTTCATTTTTAACAAACATCTAAGGCTTTGAAACACTAATCCAAAGTATTAACAAATCAATACGGTTATTTGTAAAAAAAAAAAAACTTACTTGAAATATATTAATTAACTAAATATATGAAAATATTTATATACATTTTGATTTGTTCTATGATCTCAAAGTTTTTCTTCGTTTCTTTAGTTAGGTATTTTGCATTTGATGTTTATACAATAGATATTGTTATGAATTTCAATTCCATTGTCTTTCGATTATACATTGATAATTAAATTTCAATTTTATTAATTTTAAAGTTATCTAAATGCAATAATTTACAAAAGAATATTTGTGAAAACGTACTTAAAATATGATATGTTCTTTTGACCTACTTGTGTCTGTATTTAAAATCATACATTTGAAAAGTGTAATCATTTTATCAAAATGATCATATTCTAAGAATGAGACATGAGAATTACAAAATTTGTATTTCTAATATTTTTAACTGACATATATGTACGCTGGTTTATTTAATGTAACCGAGGAAAATAACATCTCAAATGTGATTTCTACCAGCATGACAAACTGATGGCAAGTATAATCATAACAACATAACTAAATTAATAAGCATATATCATATGTATTTGTATGACTTATCAATTTGGCTTGCGTTGGTATATCATAGATAAAGCAGTCATGGTTTGGGTCAAAAGATGAAATTTTAGACAGCATATGTGTCAAATCTCTCACTATCTTTTGATTCACTCTCCAATTTATTTTTCTTCCTATTACATAATTTCATGTTTTTTGGTAACAAATCAGCAGGGACCTAATATTAACAACAGTAATTAGATAACAAAGTGATCATTAATTATATTCTCTATACTTAAACAAAAAGTAGTGTGAACAAAAACGTAATATTGCAAACAAAAGGCACAAACCGCATGTAGTCTCCTCATAAATACCTGACTCCTATATTTATTAAACTTCCTCCCTCAAAATCCGAACCAGTAGTTCCCACTTCTCAAACAACAAACGTGAAACACAGTTTCCCTACCTATACTCTGAAATCGATCAAAACCCACCAAACATATTTGCTTCTTTACAAAATCACTTGGGAAACCAACAGCAAAAAAAAATTAATCAAAATTTGGAACTCCATAAGAAGAAGAAGAGAAGTGTTTCTTTAAGCTCAGTGTTTCTTGCTATACCGTAAACATCTTCAGATTTGACGTGCCAATCTCTGTGGAACTTTCATGACACTTCACAATCTGGCGTGTTTCGCTTGAAGTCAAGAAGGGCTAAGTGGTCTAAATCTGAAACAGTTGTAGAGACTTGCTTTTAGTGGATTACAATGTGTTATCGAAATTTTTTAAAGAAGATATAGAATGGGAAGTTACGTGGCTCCAATAGTACTGGTCCAAAGTTGAGTGGATTCTTGTTCAGCTCTGTTACAGTAAGGGAGATCTCATTCTTTCAGTCACGAAACATTATAGCCTTTGCTTTCCCACAATAACAAACTTCACATCCTTTTGAGGACCTGCAATAATATAAGAATCAATTTCAGGTATAGCATTGGCAATTTAGGGGGAAAAAACCATAGATAGTGCTTTGAAAACATACCAGCATTCAATTTGTAGAGAGCCCTGCTCACTTTAATAACAGTGGAGTTAATTCCACCACAAAGACCCTTGTTAGAAAAGAGAGTAACCACCACACTCTTCTTTACGTCAATGCCTAGTTTTAACATCAAGTAAGCGCTAGACCATACTGGGATTATCAATTGATTAATATAAACTAATAGAACCATACTGGGATTATCTCCAAGAAGTGCGGTGAATGGCTGCCAAAGACCACGGGAGTTCTAAGCTCTGCCTTGAACAGCTCTAAGCTTAGAAGCAGCAACCATCTTCATGGTCTTTGTGATCTTCTGAATGTTCTTTACACTCTTAATGCTGTTACCCACTGCACAGAGAATACTTATTGAGACTCATGAAATATTATAACATCTTAGAATTATCATCTGAGACTTACTAACTTGTGTTGAGATAGATAGAACTCCAAGATGTGAATTCACAATCTACAGACAACACCCATGTCAATGAAAAACTCAAGATATATGTGAACTAAGAGAATGAAACTTAGGAACTGAAGATAATGAGCTTTCTGTACAGAACTATGGATATGGGTTTAGGAAAGTCCGAACCTTGTATATGAGGATTGTGGCGGCTAAACATGAGACAGTTCATATCGGAACCCTTCACTGGAACCAGTTCCAGCTCCTTTTTCACACCCTGATTTTTCGTAGTTTTTAAGAGATTCTAAGAACCCCCAAGATTTCAGAGCTCTGGATCTTGTGGTTATATAATTAATCTTGTGGCTGGTACTTTTGATCGACTCGGTGGATGAGACATCGGTCTTCATGCTTGATTTCTTCGAGTTGAGATCGCCGGAACCAAGCGAGATTTTCCGTTCGAATTTGTCGTCGATTACGACGGAATCTGAGAAGAAGAGAATATGTGAGACAAAAGAGATTTATAAAGAAATAAAGAGGTAGAAAGTCGAAACGTATCCATTATTGTTTGATTTCAGAGGATTGATTGCAGGGGAAGTGGAGTTGTGTGTCGATGGAAATTCATCTTCTCTACGTTAGAGAAACGAACCGGCGAAGAACGATTGTGGAATGATCTTATGGTTTCTGAAACCAAATGAATGGGCCCAAGCCTTTACAATTTTACAAAACCAACTTAGAGGCCCAAAAATGTACGCTGAATGTCTGACGTGGTGGAAAGAACACACCCCATTGGTTGATTAAAAAATCCAACGTGGAGTGTCTCTCCTTTGCTTGTATCGAGCTTTTAATATAGTACTGATAAACGTTAGCGCCGCAAGTCAAAACAAACGACACTCACAGCTCGACTGTTGAAATGCAGCGGTTACACAATTGTGAGAATTTGTGGATATAGGCAGTTGCAGTGACAACTAAAAATATTGTTAACTAAGATCATAATATACAAAATTTAATATTTAAATTATATATGTATATAAAAAATATATTTTTTGACAAAATAATGGGGGCAATTAAAAATTTAAACATAAATTAGTGGGGTCAAATGCCAAATTTTAACTGAATTTTATAATAATTTTAAAAGAAAAATACACTAAAAATATGAAAATAATATTATAAAATACACTAAAAATATGAAAATAATATTTTCAAATTTAAATGAAAGTTATAATTTCAAGAAAAATTGGTTTTGAATATTTATATTAAAAAGTTTTAAAAGAATATTTTTTTTGTTTATATATATGTATATTTATATTTGTTTATATATTAAGGTTAAAATTTTATAGTGTATATTCTTGGTTTAAAAAATTTACAATAATAATCATGATATTATTAGTGAATTTAAATTACAATAGAAAATGTATATATATATATATATTAATTAATGATATTTCCATTTTAAATTTTAATGTCATATTTTAAAATATTTTATATTTATTTATCCAATCGCAACCGCAAACGTTAGCAAAATCCGCTTTTGATTTTAAGAGATTCAAAGTGATTTAAAGCGATTTATAACGTTTTGTGTGATTGTTGTAAAATATCGACAACCGCTACCAACCAAAAAAATTGTGTTTGTAGGTGGTAATGAAGAAAGCAGTCAGACCTTTAACCAAAACAAGGAAAGCACAATCCAAGTTAGAAAAAGACGATTCAAAAGTGAAACTTTAAACACCCAACTTAACAGCATTACTTGCTGAGGATCATATACAAATAAATTTGAAAACAAAAACACAAGTTTAAAATGTAGCTTGTCTTGATTTGTGAGAAAAGATCATAACAATTTGAAATGAAAATAGACGAGTTTTTCATTTTCTGTACGTGTCTGTTTGTCAATGTGAAGCCGTAGAGGAGAAAAAGAGAAGGTGCAAAAATGTAAGAATACAACGAATAGAAGTGGTGGATGAAAAATTGGTGGTTACGATGCAACAAGTGGTAGAGGGGCTGATGTTTTACATTTGGAGGTGATTGACGTGGAAAAATAGGCATAATGATCGAAAATAAAACTAATTAAGTAGTGAGAGAAAATAATCAGGAGACGGAAAAAGAGATATGATATGCATATGAACTAGTCAAGTTGTCGTCAGAGTTGATGAAAGAGAATATACCATCACATGAGGTGAAGGAAAAGAAGAATCGATAGGGAGGTGATTAGATGAATGATGACGACGAATGATGGCAACGAATGATAGAATCGATGAAATAATTGATGGTGACGATGCCTATGATACATGTGGGATAACAAAAAACATAATACATATTGTGTTATATTCTTATTGAATAAGTCCATGAAGAATGAAGAAGAACAATCCTCTAGCCTTGTCAGCATGTGACAACACACTCAAAACACACTCAATCAAGCAGCCAAATTTGTTATGCATAGAAATCTTGTGAGCTGGCTTCGTATACCTTGACTGAATTTGTCTTTTGTTGCAGGTTGAGGATATGATCTTTGCAGCAGAAGACTTTGTGGGCTCAGTTACTTCTTTGGATTGGGCTCTGTGTTATGCTTTTAAGCCCATATGGTTATTGCTCCCCTTCAAACTTAGTGTAGATAGAAGAGAGACACTAAGGTTGGTCCTTAGCTTGGCGAAAGCTTCTTAAGACATGACTTGGTAAACACATCCGCAATTTCTAAAGCTGCAGGAATGTGCTTCACTTCAATAATCTTCATAGCCACACACTCTCGAATATAATGAAAGTCAGTGTCAAAATTCTTGGTTCTCTTGTTAACCGTGGATTAGCAGTCAAGCAAACTGCTGACAATTATCACATAGAAGAAGTGGAGTGACCTTATGTTGCATACCCATAACATCCAGAAGATTTTGCATCCATGTCACTTCATAAACAGCAAGAGACATGGTTCTATACTCTACCTCGGTTGATGATTTAGAGACTATGTCTTGTCTTTTTGTAGACCAAGAGATGGTGTTTGATCCGAGAAAAGTACATAAACCTCCTGTAGACCTTCTAGTTTCTTTGCAACCTGCCCAATCATAGTCACTATAACAAAGCAGAGCTGAATCACTTGACTTGTTGATACCTATCCCCATCTCATTTGTACCTTTAACATATCTCAGCACATGTTTCAGCAAATGAAAATCAGAAACACTTGGTTGATGCATATTTTGATATATGTAGTTGACTGAGTATTGAAGATCTGGCCTGATTAGAATCAAATACTGCAATTTTCCAGCAAAACTTCGAAAATAAGATGGCTCAGAGAACAGTTCATCTTGTCCTACTAGATTACCCAGTTTCATTGGTAATGGAGTTGGCATTGAAGCAGTCTCAGCCATTCCTGCTACCACTAGTAGATCCTGAGCATACTTAAACTGATTTAAGAAGAGACCATCAGACGTATGTTGAACTTATATTCCTAGGAAGTAATGAATATCTCCCATATCTTTCAACCTAAACTCAGTACTGAGATGGATAAGCAACTCCGCAATCAATTCATCATTGTTGCCAGTTAATATCATATCATCAACATACAAAATTAGATAGATGAGATCTGTACCTTGATGATAGATAAACATAGAAGGGTCTGGAAAACTGCATTGAAACCCGAAATTAAGGAGAAATGTGCTGAACTTATCAAACCAAGTTCTTGAAGCCTGTTTGAGTCTGTATATTGACTTCTTTAACTTGCAAACGTACTCTGGACATTGTGAGTCAATATCCATGGAGAAATGCATTTTGCACATCTAACTGCCTTATTTTCCATCTCTGTGTGACAGCCACATGAAGAACAATTTGGATTGTAGCAGTACGGATCACTGGACTAAAGGTTTCCAGGTAATCTATCCTTTCTTCTTGCTCATTTCCTTGGAAACTAGTCTTGATGTGTACTTGAGAATCGTACCATCTGCACTGAGTTGTATTCTATGTACAAGGGATTTTGACCATCTTTAGGAGGTACAAGCTCAAATGCCTGTTTCATTCATGTTATCCATCTCAACATCCATTGCATCTGTCCATTCTTTGTGTTTCAGAGCCTCTGTTATAGACTTTGGTTCTCTAGGACAAGTCTTAACAGTAAAGCGAGCATATTAAGGACCAGTATGGGCTCTATTTAATGGTGGAAACTCCTCTTCTTTATAAGTAAACAACTCATCTGCCTTTGTTGTAGACACATTCTCAGTGACAACTGCAGTTTTTATCCAAACTTGTTGCATGGAGTTGTACTAACGTTTTGATACTTGCTGTAAATATCACCAAAGAGGCTGATGAACACTTGACCTGTTGGTGGATGAAAGTACCTGTAACCCTTGTATTTCTCATTATAGCCGAGAAACACACAATGTAAAGACTTAGGATCAAGCTTGTTCTTCATATAAGGTCTCAAGTATGGAAAGCATTTGCAGCCGAAAACTCGTAGAGCAGTATATACCAGAACACTACCATTTAACTATTCTTATGGACTTCTATTTTCAGGAAGAATGGAGGATAGCATAAAATTACCAAGAAATGATGCAGTAAAAACGCTTCAACCCACAGATTTTGAGGTGACTTACTCTGATACAACATGGTTAATCCTAACTCTTGTGATATGCCTATGCTTTCTTTCATAAACTGCATTTTGTTGAGGAGTGTGTGGACACACGCGGCAAGATGCGTAAGTAACCTTCCACTAACAAACTCACCACCTCTATTTGACTGAAACTGAATAATTTTCTGTGTGTACTGATTCCCAACAAGACTTTGGAATTACAAAAACACAGAAAAGAAGTAAGATTTGAGCTTGAGTAGGTAAAACCAAGTGAATCTAGAGAAATTGTCAAAAAATATTGCATAATATTTAAAACCATGAGTTGAGGCAATATGACTTAGACCCCAAAGATCACAATGTATTCTTTCTAAAATTTTACTTGAAACTATCTCAGAAGATAGAAAAGGAAGTTTACAGCTCTTCCCTAGTTGACAATCATCACATAACAACTGGCTATCTTTCTTATTAAAAAGAAAAAGCATTATTCTTGACTAGGAGTTGAAGAATATCCTTGTGAGGATGACCTAGCCTTTGATGCCAAACCCCATCACTTGTGACTTGCTGCCGTGAAGAGTAGAAAGCCTGAAACTGCATATTCTTCAACATATAGAGATCCTTTTGCCTTCTTCCTCGTTGTATCACCTGTTTTGTGCCATTTTCCTTAACACACACAGATTCAGAGTCAGAGGTAATCTCACATGGGTAATCAGAAGTGAGCTTTGACACAGACAATAATAATTTTGTAATTGTTGGACAAGCAAACACATCATCAAGTGAAAGAGTACCTTAAGGAGTATGAATTGGAACGGATCCGACATGTGTTATAGGTAGGTAGTCTCCATTACCAACGATTACCTAATCATT